ATTGTAATCAAAAACCTGAAAACAATCTATATTGTATATTACTATACCTTTTCTTCTTCCCCCAGTGTGTGACATGAATACATTTAAATTTTTAATGTGCTTAAGTGCACAAAGGTACTGAAAAATCAGTGTTCCCTCTTACCTGTTATCTTTGCCGTTTTAATAATAGTATTTTTTGTATAATATGTAAAACAGTATGTGGGAAATGCATAACGTGCTTCTTAGTCATGGTTGTTTTTACTGCCAGAGTAACCCACATGCAGATTTTGAAAAGGTCAGATTGTGTGGCATTCTAGGGGAAATCAATGCTTAGTCTCATTTATTTGTTTATTTGCAAAAGTTGTTCTAACTTAAACCACAGAGTAGCTACCAAATCCCAGACTGAATTCTGTGATGGCCGAGGTACAAGAAAGAAAAGACTGCACTGAAGTCAGGCATAAATAGTCATCTTAAATTTCAATCTTTTAGAGGCGCTTATGCCCTGCCCCCCGCTGAGAGGACTAGATCCAGCATGAAGCAATTAACCCGTTCGTTAATTCAGATTATTTAAGGGCCATACCCTGCTATGGCCATTTCGCTGAGTCCATTTTTGAAGCCCATGGATTTACACTGAAATGGAAGGCGGGATATGGCATCCTAATTTACGTATGAATACTGTATTTGCAATTGCACATTGTACCGTGCAACCTGCAGTTTAAACACCATGCTAGCGTTACCGTTGTGAATATTCCTGGTTCTGGGGTCCCCACAGTGCTGCACACAGCAGCACACAACAGTGTGTGTTATATGAAGAGTTCAGGTTCTGCATTTGCTTTGGTAGAGAAGGTAAATTCCTTTAACAGAACAAAATAACTAAACTCTATGGGAACAAAAGGTCAATTCAGAACGCTAAGTATTGCAAAACCAAATCATGCATGGTTTTCTGAGAACTGGTAGTGTTAGCGAGAACTGTGTGTGCTTATTGCAGCATTTAGTTTGTACGTTAATCAGTTTTACCTGCAAATGTAATGCAATTAAGATTCCTGTCTCTCTTACACATTTGACAGAGCTTCTCTTAATAAGTCATTATTTTCTAGTAGTATCCGGTGGTTAGAGATGGATACAGAATGGCTTTGGCACTCCACAGTGACCTGTAGGGGAACAAAACATCTTACAATGAATAATATTGTCACAATTACTGGCTCAAATGAGTTAATACTGATGACATTTTTCCCATTTAATGTAATGATAGCATGAGCAAACTACATTTTCTTTCAGTTAATTGATGTCAGGTAAAGATTCAAAAGGTAAGTACTGTTCGTGGAACATAAAATGACATCAGAAAGAAATATTAGGGTAGAGGGGGGTGTCCTGGGTCCTATCTCATCTAATTGAAGGCACCTAGGTTATATAATCACATTCATTATTGTATTACCTCACTTATTATTAGCATATTTATTAGCTCCAGCAGTGAAATATAACAGACGTTCTATCACCGTTGTGAGTTTTGAGTTTAGCCAGGTGACCCTGCCTGCCTTTGCTGGTCTGTCCAGACACTTCATTTAATAGAAGCACCCAAAACGGAGTGTTTTGCATCTGGGACAAAAGGTAGGGCTCAGCTAGACCATTAAGTAGGAGCGTAATTCAGTTGCTTGAACGCAGGCATACAGTGCCATGGAAGATCTGTTGGAGAGTCTGCTGCCTCTTCTGCGAGTGGTCCCTGCTCTGACGCCCTGCGGCATCTCAGGTGGCACTAGACATGTTTTCAGGCAAGCTTAAGTCCTGCATTTTAGGATAGGATAAGTTACCTGCTGGAGGAATCTGTTTCCATTGGGTATGTTGCAGCGTCATGCTGAACACCTAAGCATTTTATTTTTCAAGTTGGGTAAAATGAATCCTATACAAATAAACTCTGAAAGGTTTAGTTTATTGTCCTGGTTTAGGCTACGGTGATCAGTCACAGGGCTGCTCAGCAGGTATCCCCAGAAAGACATGACTTGCACACCTTGTTATTTCTCTTACTGTATCCTGATCCTTTTTTTCACCACTTTGCTTCTTCTGACCAAGTCTCCTCTCAAATAAACCACCTGTCCCTAATTACCTTCACAGGTTTGCTACAGATTTTGTATACCTAGTCACTCTTGGCCTCGTATGGTACTGCTGATGCAGTCACCTAGGTACTGATGTCCTTGCAAGATTGTAATCCCCAAAAGGTCCCATATAATTTCCTCCAGTCACTTTTGAACTTTGGTCACTTCTCGCTTTACCACCTGTGGGATCCAGCCTTCCCTCACAGTGCTAGCTGTGACTTCTGTCTGCTTCTTTATTATCAGTGATGTCTGGAAATTGCTCATGTTGTTGTGGTCTCACATCCAGTAGTTTTCCACACCCTGTTCAGTAAATTTAACCTCAGGATTATGCCAGTCTGGGCCTGGCCAGTGGTTTAGCCATTTGCTTGCAGCACTAACAAAAATACCAAGGACTATTCCTGAACTTGACCCTGAAGTTGTCTGGAAAAATATTTTCTTAGTTGTGTGATGAGAGGAATATAAAACGAAGATCTAATCCATTTGTTCAGTGTTGAGTAAGATAATACAGCATGGTGCTGACACCCATTCGCCCACGTAAAGACCGTCCTGAGATAAAACAGCTCAAAGTGAGCATGAAGCCACTGATACTCTTAATCATATACTGATACCATCAAGTCTTCAGGACCTAAAAGAATGGGGGGAAAAGCTTTAATATGATCCTGTTGTTTTCTTTGGAGAAATTCCAGAGATACAGTCTGTGTGACTGCTTCTGGTTTTGGATCGCTCCCAGATGTCAGTTCCCAGAGGTTCAAGTTTATCTTTGACTTCTTCAGAAGACAGGTCAGTGGCCATATCATTAATATGCAGATGACACTTAGTTCTGTTTCCTTCTTGTCAGCCCAGGCAGGAGATATCTGTGTACTTTCCAGCGTCTGGCAGAGATAGGAAGCTGCACAGAAGCCAAGAAACTGGGTTTATTCCAGAGCTGTAAACTGCTTTGTGATGACTGTCCTGGAAACACATTTTGAGGAACTTTTATTCAGGGATTCATTTGTTCAAGTGCCTCATTGCTCTCGGGGTCTTAACAGCCTCAAACTCTTTTGCATTTGGCCTTTGATGAGAAGAGCTGGAAATAACCTCTTCAGCAAACAAAGGAACGCAAAGCCTCTCTGTCAGGCCAAGAGCGTGGTTGCATCAGCTCACCTCTGCCAGAAAAGAAGGAGCTGCATTCCCATCTCCCTTCCTCCTCATCACTCAATCTCAGCCACACACTGCCTTGTGCAGGCTCTGGAGCTTGTTAGGTGCCACCTAACACAACTCAGCAAAACATCAGAAAGAAACCACGCAGAAATGTGCATAACTCTTTCCACCTTTCTGGGTTGCATTGGCTCTCCAAAGAGTCCAGCAAAAGCTGGGAAGAGGGGGTGGAAAGGGGAAGTGAAGAAGAGCAAGGAAGGAGAGTGAGACCTGATAAGTATGCAAGGTGGTGTGCCTGCGACGAGGCTTGTGTTACAAAACTTGAGACTTGATAACCACTTGAAATTTCAGCTGCAGCCTTAGTTCAGCTCACTGTCTTCTAGTCACTATGGCTTTCTCAGGGTAAATTACACCCACAGCTTGCTCCCAACAATGGGAGCAATTAAAAGCACTGTTTACTATCTACAGAGCCCTAAATAGTTGAAATCTAATTACTTCCAAAAGATTTTCCTTCTTTTGTCCTGTGGTGACCCTGGCATTAAATAGAATTGCTTTGGCTGTCTTGCCTAGGAATGAACTTTGAGGAAGCTGGAAACAAAATAATGTCTCTAGAAGGCATTTTCCTGAAGAATTTGTTCCTGCCAGAGTATTTGCTAAGCCTGAACTTGCCCACATTTGGTACACGATGTAAAATAATTCTCCATGCACATGTTCTCAGCTAATAACAGGCCCCAGAGTCCTTGGCATTCAGCCTACAGTTGTCTATCTTTGTCCTTTAGCATCGTGTGCCGTTGCCTGAGCACGTGCCCTGCAGCCTCCCACCCGGCCTTCGGAAATCCTCTGGTCTGCCCACACCTCCTCCTGCTGCCCGCACCAGGCAGCGGGGTAGGTCCAAACTCCCCAAGGGGGAAGTGCAGAGACATGACTTTCTCCTGCCAGGCCAGTCCCCAGATTTGGGACTGGCATGATGCCCAAGCCAAGGGTAGCCTGGAGGATATTTCCTTGGGTTGGAGAAGACCCTCAGCCACACACAGACATGAACTATAATCTTTTGCCTTGGCGACATGCTCAGTAAACCACAACCACACACCATTATCCCAGGGGCATTTGCATATGCGCTGCATTTCTACATGGCCTGTGGTCAATGAGTTGCGTGTGGGGAGCCCTCCCTTGTGTACCAAACTCTGCTGTCGTCTGCTCTGGTGCTACATGGCAGGGGTGCTGGCCTCCGCAGCACAGCTCTCGAAACGTCTGTATGATGAGCCTCTGATTGCACTCACCACATGGAAGGATTACAGGTGGCCCTCTCTTCCTCTTCGACCTCTCCCCACGTAGGTCCAACAGCCTGAGGTACCTCTGCATCTGCTGCTGTGAGTAGTCTTTGGAGCTTCGTGTCAGGAGTGATGTAGGTCTATCTGGGCCTGTCATAAGGAAGGGGAAAGGACTAGGAACTTCTTAAAGTTCCTTCCAGCTGTTGATTAGTGTTTTTTGTGTTTCAGAAGATGATCCACTTCAAATTGTACTGATGGGCTTGTAGAAAATGCAGCTGCTTTTTGCTTTTCCTTTGACTTTATCTCATCTGTGAACTTCAACTTCCTTTTAGCCCTACTATATTTTTTGAATATGATCTCTGTGTAATTTATATTTGTATAAGTTATGCAAATAGATACAGTTGTATTTCCCTGCTGAAAATAGGTGAAACACCTTTACATCCATGGAAAAGAACACCTTTTTCCACCTGACTCACATGATTTCCCATCACCACCACTTTGAGATCCCAGACCTTCTGTTTTATTATTTTTAAAACTTATTTATTGCTTATTTAGGTATTTTTCTCACATTTTTTACTTATCTCAGTTTCATTCAGTCATAAACAGTATTAGGTTTTCATAGAAAAATTTATTCTTATTAATTTATTTATGTATGCTTTTCTTTTAGAAACAGCTATATATATTTCATGCATCTTGGATTATTTAGTGGAAATGCTGTTTCATGCCATGTAAATAATATGCAACTAATGTCTCAGTGATTTCTGGTAAACCATGATGTTCATTCATTTATTTTTAGATCACATTGACAACCATTGGCTACGGAGACAAAACTCCTCTTACTTGGCTTGGAAGGTTGCTTTCTGCAGGATTTGCTCTACTTGGCATTTCTTTCTTTGCACTACCTGCCGTGAGTATGCTTTTAAAAATTGTGAGAAGGTAATAACAAACACTTTAGCAAAGCCTGTTGCGATAGGACAAGGGGTAATGGTTTTAAACTAAAAGAGGGTAAATTTAGACCAGATAGAAGGAAGAAATTTTTCACACTGAGGGTGGTGAAACCCTGGCACAGGTTGCCCAGAGAGGTGGCAGATGCCCCATCCCTGGAAACATTCCAGGTCAGATATTGGACGGGGCTCTGAGCAACCTGGTCTAGTTGAAGATGTCCCTGCTCATTGCAGGGGGGTTGGACTAGATGAGCTTTAAAGGTCCCTTCCAACCCAAATTATTCTATGTTTCTATTATTCTAACAGAAAATTCCATAGCTCCTACCACTGTTACGTTGCAAAAAGCTGAAGGAAGCTCTCTTCGTGAAGGCTTTTTGCTCTGTGACAGCACTGGCGAACTGCTATCCAAAATCCAAAGGAAAGATTTGGTGTTGCTGTCATTGCTTGAGTTTTGGGGAGTTTCTTTGGCAAGCACAAAACTGGAAAATGATCCTAAATTAGGTAGCATACTATTATGTAAGTTTGAAATACCTTTCTTTTGTTATGAATTGCGGCTCATCTATTACTGCTTTTCTTTCGTATTTTTTAAAAGAAAATCAGCTAATACATTTTTCTGAATTAGTTTCTATTGAAAAAAGGCAGATATTTCTGATAGGTTGTCTTGTATGACCATGTTCAGGCTACCAACAGAGAGTAGTAGAAGCATTAAATCAACCAGAAGTTGATGTCGTTGAATGTAAAAATGCAACTACCATTTTCTGTGAATGATTGTAAATATACGTGACAGTTTATTTATTTTGCTTTTATCAACGTTCAAGAGATTTTAATGGTAATGGTAATCATCTAGTGGCTGAATTATAATGTAACTTCAGAAATAACTTCATTTTTGTGAATGAATTTCCTTTCTTTTTTAAATTAGTATTGAATAAACATGAAATCAGAAGTGACATTTGTATATTGTTGCATTGCATCCTGTGCAACATGTACGGAAAATCAATATTTTAATACTCTAATTCATTATCTATAGATCACTATAAAGTATGTATGTTATAATAATACATTTGTTTTCAATCATATAGACAAACCAAGATTAAAAGTCAGCATTTGCCAACAGCATTGAATCATCTAGTGTACTGCATTTGAGCATGTCTGGCATATTTCAATGCATTCTAATTATAATTATAGTACATTACCTGTTTGTGAATCTTTAACATTTAATGGCATCTACTGTAATTAATTCTCTTTGTTACCTAGTCACCACTAACAAGAATGCTAGCAGGACTACAATGATCATGTAAAAGATGAATAACCTTACATATTAGAGATGCCAGAACTTTTGTTCCGTATGTCATATCTATGTACTGATACTCATTTTCCTCACAAACACTTTTGTGTTGGATCTGACTGTACAACAAGGTATACGTGTGAATCTTGTACATTTCTAATATTATTTTATCCTGACTAAGAATCAAGTGGAAGTATTCCTCCTCATTACGGAGACATGTCCAGCAGAAATATTACACTCCTTGCATGCCAAGGAGGGAAACATTCTCAGTCTTTGGGTCTGTTCA